CCCAGGGCCGTGCCCCACCCCTGACCGAGGAGGAGGCTGGGGAGGCGCCTGCACCAAGGCTCTTTGTTTCTCTTTAATGAGATGAGTTTCCGGGTGAGGTCCCCTCCCTTCTCCCTCCCCCACCTCCTGCCCTGGGCGTGAGGGACCCGTGTCTGCTGACACCCTCAGTAGCTCCTCTTCCCAGCTGGGTCTGGCCCCAGTGGGCCCGCAAGGCCAGGGGCGGGGGCTCGCCAGTCCCGCCCTCACCCTGAGGGGGACCAGCTTTTAGTCTGAGGCTGGTTTCCTAGAAAGGGAGGCACATCCCTGCTTTTCTACTTCTGTTGTGGGGCAGCCCTTTCCTGTGGGATCTTCCCCACCCAAGGCCAGAAAGGGGGGCAGGGAGGACACCCCAAGACCTCAGTCCTACCCTGGTGCACAGAGATGGCGGTGACGGGCTCATCGCAGAGCTCACGGCCCCAGCCTCTAGACTGCAGCCTTGGGGTCCTGGGGTCCCCAGCCAAGTGGATGGTTAAGCCTCGTGAGGGAGAATGCCTGGGCTTTCTGGCCTCTGAAACGTGCCCTTCTGAACCAGGTCTAGGGAGGAAGGAGCGTGGGGTGGGCAGGAGCTGAGTCGGGAGGGAGCCCCTGGCTGGACCTGGGAGCAGAATAAAAATGGAAGGTGAGGCTGGGAACTGGGGCCACAGCCAGGGGAGGAGGGTGCACATGGGACCGCGCCGCAGGCAGGAGCCTCTGGCCCTGGCCTTTCCCATCATCCTCTGCCCCTCCCCCGACTCACCTCAAATTGGTGTGTGCTGAGAGCTGAGGTGAGGCTGGGATTTGGGTGGGGCAGAGCTGGCCACACTTGGAGGGTGGCTGGCAGGATGGGGGGGCGGGCGCGGGTGGTAGGATCTCAGGAGTTTGGGAGAAGCTGAATTCTGGGTCTCCCACCCACAGTGTGGCTGTTTGGTGACTCAGCCGGGCTCAGACTGGCTCCGGGGGGTTTAGAGGACTTATCTGAGCTGGAGCTGCTGCGTCTGGGCCGAGTGGGGCTGCCTCCAGGCCTGCCCTGCCCCATTGTTCTCATCGCCCGCTCCTGCTGCGGCCCCCTCCCCAGACGCTCATCGGTGGGTGGGCGCTTTGCCCAGGTTGCTAAGCTGGGGGCTTAGGACAATGGGAGGTAAGGAGGGAGGTGGATGAGCAGAGTGAGACTCTCCTGGTTTTACTCTGAGGCCAAGGTTGCCCGGGAGGGGAGGAAACAGGGCTGTACTGCCGTCCTGAATGGGGGCTTCAGGGATCCCCTTCCAGGTCCTTTCTCCCCCCAATCTCACCTGTGTCTTCTTCCACTCTCTCCCATGGAGGCTGCGGGGGGGGGGGGGGGGGGGGGGGGGGGGATGGCAGCGTTAATGCGGCCGAGACCCTGGATGACTTGGACCCTCCCTTAGCCCCAGGCAGCATCCTCCTCCCACCAACCCACACCAGACAACCCTCACCCAGCCGGGGCCAGACCAGGGTTGCCTTGGTGGTGGCAGCAGACATTCCCAGGGAGAGGCCTCCTCAGGCCACAGGTGCTGGGGGCCCTGGGGAGTGGCTGGGGGAGGAGGGGGAGTCCTGAGGACAAGGGTAGAGAGAGCTCTTGTTCTGTTGTTGGGGAGCCCATGATGGCAGCTGCCCAGGGCATCCCCTGAGAGACATGACTTCATCTCTGGGCCCCTCCACCTGAGATGACTCTGCCCTTGGTGAGGTGGGAGGGCAACGTGAGGGACATTCCAGATGGACACAGCCACACACCGCCCACCGGGCAGCCGAGACAGGGAGGCATGCAGACACCAGGGGAACCCACATCCAAATACTCGCCACGCGCAGAGTCCGTGGGACGGGGTGTGTCACACACTCGTGTTCATGCCTTACCACAAGCACATACACTCATGAAGGTAAGGCATGAACACGAGTGTGTGACATACCCCTTCGTGCAAGGAGGCAGCCTCACATGCATGTGAACCACAACCAGAGCAACCAGGCCCTCACCACAGGCTCACACTCCCCTCCCTGTACCCCCGGGAATGCTGGAGGGAGAGGCCCCTCCCAGGAAGACCTCCCTCTGGAGACACTCCGTGGCGGCAGCCTCAGTCCCCTCCCGAGGTCACAGGCCAGGCCTCACACCCAGGAAAGTCGGGACAAAAGCTCAGGGTGGGAGCAGCCAGGACTGGAGGACCTGTCTGGGAGCTGGTGGCGTGGGGCCTGGCCGGGGTGGGGAGGCCGAGGGCAGGGATCCCGTTGGGCCAGTTGGGCCTGTTCTTTCCCTTGCGCAAGGTGGTGGCTGGTGGTGGCTGTGGCTCCACAGCAGGTCTGAATCACCAAGGCTCCTGACCAGCGTCCTGGGCTCTGGGAGGAGGCTGGGAGGGTCAAAGGGAGGAGTGCAGCCAGCAGAGGCCATGGGCCTCAGCAGTGTGCAGCAGGAGGGTGGTGGGCCTGGCCTGGCACTGGGTGCTCACATGGTGACCTCACCTGGCAGGCGGCTCTGGTGACATCATCCTTTGCTCTGGTGACATCATCATGCTATGCCAGGTAGGTGCTGGCTGGGGGAGAGGAGGTTGCTCTGCACTGGCGGCTGAGCTCTGGATCCATTTGAGCCCAGCTCTCTCCCCTGAAGACTGCATTGAGGATAGCGGGGCTGTGGGAGCAGCCGAGGGCTTTCCTGCCTCACTGGGTCCTGTGCAGGCCTTGGGCTTGTCTTGGGGAGTGTGGGTCTTGGGCTCACAGTGGGGATGTGAGGATTGGACTCAGGCATGTGCTGGGCACTCGATGCCTGTTGTGCTCTATGAAGTTATTTTGGGGGGAAATGTGGGTGATTAGTGGGGAGGGGGTGGCAGATGGTTGGCAAGTCTCAGGAATGAGTGAAAAATAGGCCTCTGACATTGTCCCAGAAACAGTCTTTAGAAGGGCTCTGTGCCTGGCTGAAGCACTGGACCCCTGCGGCCTGCAGACAGCAGTGCTGGGCGCAGGGGACGTGCGGGAAGCCCACCTCAGGCCTGCCCTGGCAGCCCTGCCTTCCTGTGTCCAGGGGATGTGCTGGGAGGGGCGCAGGCAGTTAGCTGGACTCCCAGGCTGGGCTGGGTGGGACCAACATCAGCTCAGGCAGCTCAGGGCCCTGGCATCCAGCCCTGCAGGTCTGTCCTGTCCCTTTCAGGCTCTCCCAGCTCCCAACAGCATCCCCCCTCCCCCCTGCAAGTAGGGCTGCAGGCCCCTCCCTCTGCCCCTGCTCGGCTCTGCCTCGGGGAACCCTCGGATCCCCTGTAGTTGGGCTTCTCTGTCTCCCCGCCCCCCCCATGCTTGCCTGTCCACCCCTTTCTTTTCTTTAAAAAAAAATATTTTTATTGATTTCAGAGAGGAAGGGAGAGGGAGAGAGAGATTAAAAATATCAATGATGAGAGAGGATCATGGGATCGGCTGCCTCCTGCACGCCCCACACTGGAAATCAAGACCGCAACCCAGGCCTGTGCCCTGACTTGGAATCTAACCGTGACCTCCTGGTTCACAGGTCGACGCTCAGCCCCTGAGCCACGCGGGCCGGGCCTCCACCCCTTTCTTTTTTCCTTTGCAGTGAACCCAGCTAACCAGTCTGTCCTGCCTGCACCCCAAGGTTGGCAAGGTTGCCATGCACACCCCTCCCTGCCTAGCCCAGCCAGACTGCTCCTTCCTCCTGGGCCCACCCTCTCCCCCTTCTGCCTGTCTCTCCTCGAGTCGCTCATTCACTCATCCAGTCATCAGTAAACAGGGATTGAGTATCAATTATGAGCCAGGAATGCAGACCACACGCTCCCATGGGAAGCACTGAGTCAGAATCCACGTTTCCACAGGTGATGTGAGGCCCAGGCTCTCCTCTGAGGAGCTCAGCCTGGTGGGAGGCAGCTGCGGCCCCGGGTAAACGCTGAGCGGGTGAAAGCAGGCGGCGGGCAGGCGCCGGCAGACAGGAAGGAGGGCATCCGGGCGCCGGGAGCAGGTGTGGGCAGCGGCCTTGAGGGTCTGCGTCTTCCCCTCTCCCCGTGCAGGGACCAAATCCTGCCCTTTCCCAGGAACGGCGCCTCCTCTCCCTCCTAGTTCAGGTTCTCGCTTTCCTGCCGGAGGCACAGCACCCCTGCCTCCCGGATTCGTGACTCGCGTTCCCTCTTGACCGAATCGGAACCCCTCTGCCTGGTGCGGAAGGTCCCGGGCGACTGGGCTCCAACCACGGACTCCGGACCTACCTGCCTCGCTCGCCCTCCTCTCTGCCTCCCGAACCCGGTCCTCTCCGCCCACCTGGTCGCGCACATCCCGGGCCGAGTCAGAACCCACCCCAGGGCTGTCTGCCCCGCGAGCTGTGAGGCCGGGATGGGGCCTGCTCCGCAGATGAGGCTCCGGGACAGATGAGGCTCCCGGGGCAGATGAGGCTCCCGGGGCAGATGCCCCTGCCACTCGCCCTTCCTCCAGGCCCGCGTCCTGGTCCCGAGACGCCCGACCGACCGACCGACCTCCTCTCTGAGCCTCGGCCTCGGCCTTCGGGTCTCAGGGATTGGCTGGGGCCGGCGGGGTGCCCCCACACACACCCACACCTTCCTCCCAGGAACCCGGTCTCTCCCCTCCAAGCAGGAAAACCACGTTCTAAGAGCCTCCCGGGCGGACCTCCCACACGCGGCTCTCACCCGCCTGGGCCCCTGAAAGCCATCT